AAAAAACTGCCTAGATTTTGTTTGTATAGACCTGAATAGGTTAAAGATGACTTCGAGTGAGTCCCAAATTAAGCCACTTCTTTATTCTGTGCCGACTGATCACCTTTAAAAGGCAAATGAAATGTTTTTCTAAACTTTGATGTCAAACATGCATCATGTCATGTTTGATGGCTGTGTTGTCAGCTGGAGTTTAATGTATGGCTGTAACGAACAGCTGTAACTAAACAGAGACAGAGCTCCGTCCTGTGGCAAGTGTCTAAACCCATAGCTGGTTTGTGTCCACCTGCTCTCTGTATGCTTTAGTACTGATTTAGGATTTTGCTGAGCACGCCTGGGTCCGACTTTAAACCACTTAGCAGAAAAATCAGCTCCATAATAACAAGTTCACAGAAGAAAGAAACATAAGAAAACAAAAGAATGTTTTGCTTTTTCATCAAAAACTTGGTAAACTGTGTTTTTAAGGATGTCATATCAATGCAACAACAGTTATTGTTATTGCTCAGATATTTTGTAGCTATATAAACATCTTAACACATATCTTGTGTTATGTATGTGTTTGCAACTTCGACCCTAACCACAGGTTACAAGTATCTTAGTCATCACAATTTACTGTGATTTGGTACTGAAAACCTATAGTGGTCAAACCTTAAAGGTAGTCCTGTGTCAGTGTGAGAGGTGAAGTGCTCTGATGTAAAGGAAGAGGCAAAGGACAGAGGAGAAATATAACAAAAAGGGGGGGATAAAGATGAAAAGAACAAAGAAAGTGGCGGTGGTAGTAGTATAGCAATGAAAACAGGAAGTAGAAGGAAGACCACTAACAGAAAAGAAAAGGCAAGAAGATACAAAAGAAGACAGTAAAAGGCAGAGAAAGAACAGAAGTGAACAGCAACACATGCAGACAAAGGATGTAAGGGGCAGAAAACAGGGGACAAGATAAGACAACACAGAGCAAGTAGTAAGAGGAGAGGACAGCGAGACGAAGAGGGGAAGGAAGAGCAGAGCAGAGTCACAAAAGAAGAGGAAGAACATGTACAATCAAAGAAAAAAAACAGACAAGAAGACAACAGAGGACAAAGACCATTTAAGGGCAAAGAGAAGCCCCACATACAGGAGTGAAGGCTGCGCTCCTACCTGGCATCGGCCTCACTGTAATACTCTCTGGCTACGATGTCCTCAAATAGTTCACCTCCGGCACCCTAACAGCAAAAAAACCAACACACCACCCAACTGCAACACACAAACACACACACACACACACACACACACCCCCACACACACACACAACACACACACACACACACTTTTATTTAGGAAAGCTGGACTGGTTGGAGTGGAAGGAGGAGGTAGTGATGGTGGTGTGTGGTTATAAATGCTTCAAATCAAGGATTCCTACTTCAGTTCTTATTTTCTACAGCTCCCCCCTCCCCCCAATCCCTCCTTCACTTCATCCCCCCTTCCCACACTGTTACCATGGAAACTAGAGGGAATTGCTGAGAGATAGATGTGGATAGCGTGGGTGGTGATAGTGGCAGTGGTGGTGGTGGTGGGGCAAATATAAGAGAGAGTTATGCAATTGTATATGTATATGGAAGAGCTGGGAAAACTGAGAGGCAGGCAGCTAAAAGAAAAGGGGGGCAGAAGATAAAAGGAATGAGGAGGAGCAGAGAGGAGAGGATGACGACGATGACGATGACTTACAAGTCAAACAGGAGGTAGTGGAAGCCCTCCTCTGATATACTGTCATGAAGACGAACTGCGAGAGAAAAAAAAAGAGAGATTGAGAGAGATAAAGTGATTCCTGGGCTCTGTGTAGCTGGAGCATTCAAGCTATGATGGTTATTCAAAGAGTTTCTGAAAAACACTGGGGATGACTGCTGCATTTTAAGTTTTTGGTTGTTTTTTTTAAAAAAGGAAAAAGGTGAGATAAAGAGATAGTGAGAGTGCGCGTGGGGTAGAAACCACAGGGAGTCGAAATAATTGAGTCTTACATCATATGTGTTTACAATAGGGTAGGAGCTTCTGGCAATACAGGGTTCGGTTTAAACAACAAATGAATAAAACGATATACTTCTATTGGATCTTTTAATAAAAAATGTTAAGTGTGTGTTTTGGCAAAAAAAAAGAAATTGTTCTGTATCAGGAATAAAAGACTGTTAATCAAATCTAAACTGGTCTTTACTTTTAAATGGATTCAAACTCATTTAAATAAATTATTTTCAGTGGGTTGAAAATAAGAAAAGCATGTCCTCACCGATGTTGGGGTGTTTCAACAGACGACAAATACGAGCCTCTCGCTCCAGCTTCTGGTGATCTGAGGCGCAACAAAAGAGAGAGAGGTATGTCAGAGTTATTGTTAAACTTGGGTTATAAATATGTTATATCTATATTGTAGAAGGCTTTTTAGGACGATAAAGTCAAATGTGTCAAAAACAGTTTAGAAAATGGTTTCATGTCACAAAGGACGAAGAGAATGCAAAGGAACCCAGTGGGTGTAAAATATGGAAAAAGTGAAACATAATAAGGCGTGTTGTTCTTCCAAGTTTTAAACTAAGAAGGCTCAAGGTGGATTCCAGTGCTACATACGATAATTTAAAAAACAAACAAACACATTCTTGTTTTACTCCATAGTTTAATGGGTGATCTTCACTAAGGCCCACAAGATTCAGCAAGTTTCTGTATTGGTGACTGACAACATAACTGTTTTCTGGTCATTTAGAGCACAAGAAAAACAAGATTTCCTTAAACATAAAACTGCACAAAAAAAAAAAAATAAATAAATAAAAATGAAGACGTAATGAAAAAAAGGTCAAAAAGATCAAATAAATATCCATCCATACAAAGCATTTTTCGTGTCCATGAATTCAAGAGTCTATGTAAAAACCGAGCATGAGTGTTTAGCAAAAATACAAGTTGTTCAAATTATAAAACACCAAACTGAATTTTTAAAGAATGTTGCTGAATTTTTGTGTGTGTGTTACATTTTTCTCCATAATGCAACATAAATTTAATATATTATGTTTAAGTGGCTTTGAACTTTGAATATTTCAGAAACTCGTGATCTACTGGGATTTTCCCACACAACCAACTCTGGGGTTTACAAAGACTGGTCCCGTAAAGAGAAAATGAGCAGCGGTTCACTAGGAGAAGACACCTTGTTACTCCCAGACTTCAAAGGAGCATAGCCATAATTCTTCCACCCAGAAGGAAGAGAATAGTCATTCAAATAACCACTTATTACAACCAAGATATGCAGAAGAGCATCTCTGAATGCAGGAAGGAGCAGAAGACCACACTGCCTGCCGTTCCTGGTTGCAAAGAAAACTACTTTGAGACTAAAATTTGTTGCCTGGTGTGTCTGTGCAACATTTGGTGCAAACAACATGAAACAGTGGTTCCACAGTGGATGTGTTATATCAATAAAGCAATGATGTGGGAATTATTTTATAGGGATATTTTCTGAGCTTCAGTACTAGCTGAGCAGCATTTTGACACCAG